ACACTGATGCTGAGGACAAGTTTCTCTTGACTGACGCGGACATCACTCGCACGACGTTTAAGTACAACATAAGCGAAATTATCTCCTTTAAGATTTAAATCATTAATTGCATTTGATGAAATCTTTAAATGATAATGAGGAAGAAAACATGAAAGATAAAACAAGAAACCCAACATTAAATATATATTTCAAGTTAATATTCATCGTAGACTGACATCAGTTGGAGGAACAAAGGAAACCTGGGAGCACTGGACAGCTGTTTCGTCCTAGTATGGGACTCCCCAGCAGTGCGCACCTACGACCCCACCAGCAGGGATCGAACCCGCGACCTTCAGGTTCCGCGACCAGCGCGTTACCATTGAGCCACTGGGTCAGAAACCAATGCTGCATATTTCCAACTTCTGTTAACTCACGATATAGCGCGAACCGCCACCCAATGTCATCGTTGAGTATTTGTCCTCACGGCCATCAGGCTTGACTCCACCGGTCACGACTTGTCATTGGAACTTCGGGAATACTTCTCGAAGCTAGTCACCAACGAGCACTAGTTCAATTAAATTTTGAGGGGGTTGTGGAGATTTGGAAATATTTCAAGTTGTTATTCATCAGTTGTTATTCTTCATTTTGGCTAGGAAGCACCTTGTGGTAAAGCAAATAAACCGCATTGGTTATTTTAGTGGTTGTGAGTGTGACCTTCAGAGTCATTTTTTAATGCTATCTGTCTATGCGTCGTATGATTGTAATCTGCCTAAACCAATCACGTAATCATTTTCTGGTTATACAAAAACCCACACTCTACACACACATGTGAATTAATGAGTCATACTTGTGTGTATCTTAATTCAGCGCAGTTCTACTGTATATAATCATGGGAACACGGGGGCTCTGATGGTCACCTTAACAACTGGTGAAAGTATCGATTAAGTGTTTCTATTTTGACTGGATTTTTGGTCTCTGAGTAAATAGATAAACCCAATTGGTTGTTTCAGTAGACCCTCGAGTGACCTTAACAGTCACTCTTATAAGCACTTATATCTACGCCTTAGTGATTGATGTGAAACAAAGACACCGTGCGAGTAGCTCGTCTTTCTGATCTATGAACAATTTGTCAAGATACAGTTACATTCAGGAGTTCAGTTAGTCCTGGACACCTCTGAATGACAAGGTGAAGGTGGGACGAAATATAAATATATGGATGGTAACTAACAGTGGAATCTACCACTCCTGTTTCGTCCTTCCCTTGATTCGTCAGAAGCTGATCCCTTCAGTCGAAACCAATCAACAACTGGGAGTAGCAAGATATTTCTGAACCAGTTCCGAAATCAATAGTATGAAAATCTAGCAGCACTGAGTGACTGTTTCTTCCTTCCATTATAGGACTCCTCAACAATGCCAACCCGACAAACTTCCAAACAAAAATTGGCATCACCAAGGATATAACACTATTATTAACTTACATTTGTTAAATTCCGCTTCTCATAATATTCTTTCCATCTGTGAAATCCACTACTATTAGTAATATTCCAATATTCTCCATTAATTTTCACATCATTTTGCATTGATTTGAATGCACGATTCAACTGACGTAGCCAGTGTAACTGCCAGTCGACTGCTCTCCATGTTGTCACTGAAATGGTACTTTCATATGTATAATACTGACATCTTGGATGGCACAGAGTTGATTCATACTGTCGTCGAATAGTCACATTCAACGGTCCACTTGTTAGACAGTGGATCCGTTTAGCCAGCTCCATCACATTCACATCACCTTCCAGTATAGATCCACAATAGGGGAGATTGCCTGAAGGATACTGGGGTCGTGGATTGTAGATATACTGACAACCGCATTCCTTAATGATATCCTCTTGTTGGTGGAATAGAATACACTGGGATTGAGTATACCTATATGATACATTTAGATCATGATAGGCATAGGCGAAGTCAGAATTCGAGGATTCCGATAATGTGTGATCAGTGATACGAGCCAGTTGGGGATCACGATCAATGTATTCTTCACGACATGGATTCTGTGGTGTATCAAGACGTTTCCATAGAACAGGTTGATAATTGATTTCATTCAACTTCCCTGGTTCAACATGTAAGCCTTCACGTTCCAAGTCTGGATAGGTGCCCGGCTCGTGTACAACAACACTGAAAGATGTTTTAAGAAGGGGGAAGAAGAAAAAAGAAAGAGGAAGGGGGATTCGAACTGGGAAAGCGGTTTTCGTTTATGTAAACAAAACGATTTTGCATGAATGTTTCTTTCATGAATGGGTCCAGGTGGACGTGAGAGTGGATTGTGTTAAAATAATATCTCGTTCATTGGTTGGGTTGGTACAACCCCTTGGTTTACTTTAGATGGCAGGAGGCGATGGGGAGGAAGAAGCCCTGCTACACTTAGGCAGCTTTCGTGCTTACAGGTACTCGTCAGCTAAGCGAACCTGATGTACCCTTTGAGGGATTTGAAACCGTGCCAGCCAGTGATGCAATCAATGGGGTTACCAATAAGCTATTGGTGCTGCGATTCACCTGTTGTAGTAGTGGATTACGTATACTGAATGGTCACTGGACACCAATCAATTTCATGTCATCTAGTCCTGAGTCCTAACCGAATTCTATCGATCAGGAATCGAAATAGTTTCACAGCGAATATAAACATTTGGATAAAGTTAGCAAAACATGCCACGCATAATGAATAATGTGGTCACATCTAAAGGAAACACAATTCTACCAGAGTAATAAAGATTTTCAAAGATGGTTTCCGGAAAACTCAAAGAACTATGTCTGTTCAATTTTCATTAGATAAGTAACTGTTGACAATTTAACAAGAGTCAGTATTCTTAGTTACTAAGTGTTTGTAGTAAATTTAAATTCTTCCACATTCATTCTCTTCAACCGTTACCAGTGAAATAGCTCTTTTAATCAGGTGAATTCATATTCTGACGAAAACGAGTTAAACTATTATACAGAAGTAAGGGGGAACAACGTGAGAGTTTCAAATCGATCAGGGTCAATTAGGGTGTCCAGGCGCAGAAAAAATAGCCAAATGGAAATTAGTTTATCCTAACAAAACAAGAAGTCCAAAATAAAGCCCGACTATAGCTATGCACGTAATTACACACAATCATACAATACAGTGGGATAAAGCGACCGTATTAAAAACTGACTTAGTTGAGTGGAAGGAGAGATTGATTACTGAGTCTTCGTTCACTGAATCAACACCGAAGATATGCGATAGAAGTGTTTCTGAGGCTGTTTTACATATCTACCGAAAACTCTACTACAGTTATCACATAGAAGAGGGTGAGAGAATTAGAACCATATCTAGAAGTTGTGGAGTCATCTTCATATGGCTATAGACCATATATTGTGTCCGAAACGTTATCCACTGCAATATACTCCTTCACTGTGTATACGAAACATTTAATAAACACAAAGGGAAATAGGATTACAGTCTATCACAGCGCCCAATTTTTATTTCTCCAGAAAATTTGCGTTCATTAAATATGCCATTTAAGTATATCACCCCTAGACAAAAATGAAGTGATATCACAGTGACTACTTATTTGTATTATTAAGTAGTAATGCTTTTCCTTCAAAAAAATTGGGACCCTAATTATTTCTACTGCTATATCGTGTAAACATAAGGTGAAAATGTCTGCTGGAAATAACTTTTTTATAAAAACCAATGATATTCACAGTGGGAATGTACTCATTTAAATTTCTTTTAAATATTCTTTACCATACTTTCACCTATCAAAATGGATCATTTTAATTAAATTATGGAAATGAGGTTGAAATGATTTCCAAGGTTTTTCTTTTTTTTGGTTAAAAAATTAGTGAATTTGACTGTAATAAATATGCATATATAGTTATATTTTTCAAAGTTCTAATGGGTTACCTTGATAAAATAAGGGGAGAAGAATTTAGTTTGACGCTATAGACAAACAGATAAAATCAGCGTACAATCTCTTGAACAGAAATGCATCACTTCAGTTTGTCAGACTTCACAGTATCATATAAATAATAAATGGATAGAAATAGACTGATGTCAAAGTGGATTAGGCTAGCGAGAATCTTCGAGCTTCAAGAGACATCAGTCAGTAAACGTACTGGCCCCATCGTGACTGATTTTCAACCACTGATTCATATCGTATAGGCTACCCTAGCTAGGTAGTCTACACCTACCTACGTAACTCAGACAAATAGTCAAGGACTTCATACCCTAGTGCCACGTGTTAGTCTGGCCATCCCAAACCTTCTTCTAACCCAACTTCATTTGGTATTACAAGTCAATGTAGGTGGTTGCTCAACATGCGCAACATATTTATAAGTCGCCTTGGTCGATTCTACGGTAAGTGAAGAGTGGAAAGACTTAATGGAAACGTTTAGAGAGAACGCGTACGCTGACAATTTCATTAAGAAGAATGTGACAAAAAGTGGAAAGTTATCAGCCATTGATTTATGGGAGATAATATGGCGGAAATCATTGGAAGCAGACTTCAACGTTCATTGAAGAAGAGGTTTCCTGCAACCAGTTTGAGCATGGTGCTGAGCAATGGATGTATCTTACCACCAAGTCTAAAAGAAACGATCTCACATGTATTCTTGTCAGTGTATATCTATAAATTTAACTGCTCCTGCGGATTCAGCAACTGTAGAGAAACTGTGAGAACCCTTCCAGAGAGTGTGAAGAAACCACGCCTCGTAGTATGACTAGTAAAAGGAGGGGAGATAAAAAAGACTACCATTTCTAACCTATTTATTATTATTATTATTAGTCCCTTGGGTTCCTAGTGGAACATAGGGCTTCAGTAGCACGTCTCCATTTCACCCTCTCTTCTGAAATCTTTTCAACCTGGCTCCACGACTGCCCACAAGCTCTCATTCCCTCCTCTCACGATCTCCTCCATGTCACCCTCGGACGTCCAACTCGTCGCTTCCCATGGGGATTCCACTCGACGGCCTGACACGTGATGTCCCCAGCCGGCCTTCTCAGTATGTGCCCAATCCATCTCCACTTCCTTCTAGTGCATATTTGTTGGGTGATAGGTTCTTGGTTGGTTCGTTCCCAGAGTTCCTTGTTACTTATTCTTCTTATTCTGGCCATCTGATCTTCAGTAACGAGCCAGCGTAGGTGGCAGTTGTTGATGAATGTCTGTAGTTTATTGGAAATGCCTTTCATGACGCGCCAAGTCTCTGAACCATACAGGAGCACTGACTTGACGTTGGTGTTGAAAATCCGTATCTTGTTCCGCATGCTGAGTGCATAAGATCTCCACACTGTTTTCAGGCTAATGAACACCTGTCTTGCTTTTCCACCATTTTTAACCGGTCCCTCATAAATGACACTGAACACAGTGTTGACCTTCAATCTTGTTTCTTGGTCATCCATAAGACAGAAGATGGAAGAATGTTACAAGTAGTAAGAATTCGCTTTCTTAAAACTGCTGAAGTGGTTCCAATTAAAATGTATGAAAGCTGAGCTCTGTGTATGCAACACAACTCAAGCATTCCTCTATTTTCTCGTGGCCATCTGTAAAGATGAAGTTTACAACTAACTTGTTCCTGTCAATTGAGTTTATCGATTATTTCTCACGCTAACTTAAATTTGTGTCATTTGTGTTTCTAATCTTCATTTAACCGAATGTTGCACAGCTAGTGACTGCCCGTTATGACCAACTTGTACGGTACGCTGTTTGTAACAGTTCCTTCAAGTCGCTTGTAGATAACGTTCGCTTTTAGTCTGCATAGTACAGAGTGAAGAGATTTTGTAGGCTTTTGCGCTAAAGCGATTCTGAAAGGATCAGCTGCCTAGTTCTGACCTTGCAGACTATCTTTATATAAGACAATATGAGACAATACACCTGCTGGTCTCCAGCAGTTGGCGGCGAATTTAACAAACACCTAATGAAGTTGTGTAGATAGCATACAACCCACTGCCTTAAGATACCAATACATATGGCTTCCGACCACAACCAACAGATGTCGACCCATTGAATCCCCTGTTAACACAGAAAGCTTCAGGTATCAGTGAAAAATAACAACTGATACCCATTGTACAATATATGAATGACGTGCCTCGGTGGTCTGGTGGACAACACCTTGGCGTTTGAAACGATGGGTTCTGAGTTCAAGTCTCAGTAAGAATAACCCCACTCACTGGGAGGTTTGAGCATCCAGCTGACAAATGAGTCCAAACAGTGAACGAAACACTTGCTACTTCGGTCTCAGAGTTAACTACCACCGAGCCAATTGCGCCACCAGTAATCATCTCGTAGCTTCCTTGTCACCCTACCTTGCATGCATCTTTCAGATCAAATCAAAATCTACCTAACAGTTTTGTTCTCACCTGTACAGTAGGCGAACCACACCTAGCCTGTTTGACAGCCAATGATGCTACCTGATTGGTGGAGTGGGGCTCAAACCAGTAACCCATAGGTTGGAGGTTAAGTCTCTTGACCAATGATAGACAGCTCTACTAATAAAGAAAACGACATGAATTTCTTGGCTTGTACAGTCAACTTTAATGCACTCGGCTCAGTACAAATGGCATCCTAGTGACTAGGATGCAAGTGGACCCATGCTGAGTTCGAACTCACTTTGAACAAATCATTTCATATCACCAGTATGAATGTATAACAAGGGTTAATTTTTGAAGCGAACAAAAATCTGACCCACTAAAAATAAAGGAAAATATTTCAGATTTCAAGGAATTTTTCTAGATTTCTTTGGTCATACAGCATTATTGCTAAACTCTGTGGCCTTTCAGAGTCATAGTATGCTACAAATCTCTTGTGTAGTGAATGGACAATAAACGAGGTTTCATGTATCAATCAAAGCGTAATGCATTTTGATGGTAACCTAGATGTTTACCAAGGATTTTGATGTCAGCTTCCAGTTGCGCATCTTATTTGTGAGTCACTTGTCAACCATATGGGCCAGTACCCAAGTTGGTGATAGAGTTTCTCTTGGGACTTCAACCCAGCGCCATCAATTCAAGCCCTTAAGTGTTATAAATCAATTTACTGAGCTACAATGGGTCTTTTCTATATCGTTTAAGCCTTTAGTTACCTAGTCCCTGATTGGTTCAAATAGATCGTCCACTATCGAAATACCGACACTGTCGGAATCGCAGTTTATGGTACGGTAACATTCACTAATCTAAGTTTTCATCAATCAGTCATGAGTTTTTTCAAGTTACTTATTGTAACTGTTGTCGTGTAACAGCAAAAGTCGAACAGTAAAGATGACACAAACAAAAATAAAAAAAATTTCTTTTCTCTTTTGTTACTCAACTTCACTCGTTAAATGCTACAAAAAGAAGTCAATATGCCGGAAAAATACTTTTATCACTAGAACAATGTTTTTTTTGCTTTTCCTGCTCTTGACAGCTGCGTGATCGATACTCCTAAGTGATCTCTGATAAGACTTTATTTAAATCGAAGATGAACATCGAATTGTGATTGGTTAGATGTGAAAGAAAGTTTTGTGTTCTGGGTGAGTTTTCCCCTGAGCTAGGAATTTTGTTTGGCGAACGTCTCCATCTCGTCGTAAACACATCATCACTAGTGCACGAGGGCTCCACAAGCAAGTGAAATAATTGGTTTTGCGTGGACATTTATAACCTAATAATTTGCATAAGTTTAGCCTGATTGGTTAGCTAGTAGGTGTATGAGAGTATACTGAACCTGACTGGTCAACCTTCTGGTGCTGCATTGTGATTGGTTGACCTATTTTGTTTGAATAAATTGGTGAGGGTTGCTTCAAGTTGATTAATTAACTCAGATATGGTGAAGTGAAGTGTTTTACGTTGATTGGTTGATTTGTTTTAACTGTAAGAGTGTTTTCTGCTATTGCTAAATGGCTAGATTTTGCTGAATGGAGAGATTTCTTTTATATAGAGCTACAAATATTCCATACAATTTCGAAAGCTTTTGATTTGAATTGGCGTTTACGGACACTTTTAAGACTCAGATTCAAAAATGGACGGTGAATATTACGCATAGATAAATAAAACAATCGAATTAATGAGTTCTAATTGATCAAATTTATACCATATGTCTGTGAGATTTCAGCTTTCTGTGTATATCACCGTGGTCTAAGGCAATTCTTTTTAATCGCTTAAGTCGGGAATGACTCAAAAACACGAAATTTATGCAGTGTAGAAATAAGGTCAACTATCAGTTGAAAAATCATTGGAAAAATGAGAGCATTGAATGACAGCTGTTTTGTCCCAGTGTGAGAGTCGTCAGATATACCAACTCACGATCTGTTATCGCGAGACCAGACGGCCTTGGGTTCGTACTCATTGCTGAGGAATCCAATGCTGAGTGAAACATTTGATAAGTGCTTCTAACTCTGGTTCTGCTTTTAGTCCATGATGAATACCACCTTAGAAGCAGTCAGTCAATTAACCGACCCCCATAAACCTCCCAAATGTATACCTTTTATGCCCTGAATTTAGCTAGTGGATAACGCTATGGATTTTGGATTGACTGGTACTGGGATCCAGCTTCACTGAAGATGCTATCACTCAAGTGAGTATAGGTACATCTGATCGATGAGTGAGTTGCAAAGAGGAAGAAACGCTTGTGTCTTGGACTTCACTGCTAGCCACTACCCATCTATCCCTCTATAAACATTCAACTCAACATATGAGGTTTTCCCACGCTCACTTAAAGACCTGGCAACTCAGAACGCATTGATTTACACAGTGCCATGAAAGTCCTGAGAAGCCATATTCAAGATCACTGAAGTCCCTGCTAACTCCCTAATTGGCTCCCCCCTACTCCATGCGTATGCTTGTCGACAGTCCTCAGCTAGGCGCACCTGGACCCTGCAAGAAACTGGTGTCCTCTGTGGAATTCAAGCTCGAGCCACAACTGAACTATTCACGCTACGACTCATCAATCAGTGCTCGGGTCTTCGTCACCCTCTTTACTCTTTCTAAATCAAAGTCTGAAGTGCCTTAGATTAAACAATGCAAACCTCACGTCTGTCTGTCTTTGTGTGACACTATTATAATTAAAACAGTTAATTCCACCAACTGGAGAACCACTAAAAACCTGGGAGTGTCGGACAGATGTTTCGTCTTGCTAGTATAAGACTGCATCCTCAGGACTATGCGCCCATGACTCCCCCAGGGATCTAAACTAGGACCTTAAGAAAAATCACTCACATTGAGCTATACATTTCATCACGCAGATAAGAGTGATCTAAAACACCATGCGGTCGTTCTGCTCGTTTGCCACCGACCTTATCAGGCCACTTTTAGCTGATTAGAGAGATCTACACATCAGCCTCAGTGGTTTTCTAACCACTGCTACTACTACTTATGTTGTTCAGTAGTAGTATATATTCCGTCAATTCATGACACATTTTGCACCAGAGATCACGCCATGTGATGGATGTTAGCTGGCTAGAGGGTGGTTTTCTAAGGTGCCCTGTTGACAACACAGTTGGAAGACAATTCAAAAGCTCTTCAACTGTAAAAAGCGTTAACATGGGTGATACAATCACTGAAAGCTTATACACTCCTCGCTACTCATAGTGAACGATCAACAAAACACCTAGATTCACATCCTGTTTCTTTCCCTCTTTCTTCTGTAGATTTTCGATTTTGTTTTTTAGTTGCATGGTAGAATTGGTTGTAAAACAATTGCAGATATTGATGCAAACTGTTAGTAGTTGCTAAATTTGACTCTAAGATTTTTGAATGATAAATCTTCGAGTGAACATATGTGCCAAAGGGATGGTAGGCTTTTTAAAATCACCTACGTCATCTAGCATTTGTAATTATCGATCCCATCCGTTATATCAAGCAAGGTACAGGGCAACAAAATGAAAGACAGAGAAAAACATCGGGAATGGAAGGCGGTGGATATATTTCACTAAAAGTGGCACAAATTCATCTCGCTTATTGCCTTCGGTCGCTCATTTCGGCTGTCTAGTGACCCACAACCCAAAAGTCTGCATCAGATTTCACATATTGATATCCTGTTTTGGAGGCTACTTGTGTGTGCTACATATAAGAACGAATATAAGTAGTATATATTGTGTGCCACATCAGCCAAAATGTAGAAAACGTAAATCTCCTTAAATAAGAAGTTTCACTGATACCATTATTTTATTTAGTTAATTAGTTACTCTACTTATGATTTAACTGATAGCGCTATTGTATAGCTTAGCTCAGTTCAAGAGCTTTCGACTGACCTCTCATCCATTTATGTATGACTAATAGTTCATATGGAAATAAATCCAGTATGTTGAGTGAAATCAATCAGTCCATTGTGGTGAATTTTTTCAGTTTTTTGAGCATGAAATTAGCTATCCCATTTTTATAAATTATGGTGCGTTACGGTCTGGTAATTTAGCCTTATTGCATGTACAGATGAATCAGACCGCCTGAGCAAATGATCAATAAGCATCACTCTTTGTATTCTGTTGTAGGCCTGACTTGCGTGGTTTATTGTGTGGGTGGGTTCAGTATGACACTAGATTGTGCAAGTACATTTTAGACCAATCACGTGCAAGGTTAGTATTAAGACTGCATTGACAGAATCACGTGAAACAGACAGTCACAACCAGAAAGTGTAGATTAGTCAACAAACGTTTATAAACTGACTATGCGTTTTTAGCATAAAGCTCTAATATCAAACCTTTACACTACTAATACATCGATTTCTCGAAACGTGGAGTGTTACGAAGACAACACTAATCGAATATTAGCAGCTTTCTCATTTCCTCTAACTTCAATGACTACAAAAGTCAATACAGTAACTTGTATCTCTATGCAGAGATTTTGCAGTCAATCACTGATGCTGATGTGAAGAGACTTTTCATTTCAGGTCAAAACCTTCTACGATTTATTACAACCCATCAATGCCAAGATTTCAGTTGCCCTGAACTCTACTAAAGATGGCCGGCACATGCTGTAATAACGGATGAAACGGGAAAAGCTAAAGAAGTTGGAGTATGTCAACAACATTCTTAAAGATGAATAATTAGTTATCCGATAGAAATTCATTTACAAAATAGAAAGTAATACTTACTCTTTGCTCGTGGTCCAGAACAATGAACCATAGACATCCCATACCGATCACCTCAACTCCCCCATATACATATCAGATGAGATTAGGTGAGTGTTCAACAGAGGGAGTATCAGAGTGTTCTACATAACACCAGACATGTTCATCCTCATGATGGACAAAATTCCTTTGGATTCACAATCTAATTGTATTTATCAAGAAAAATGTTCAGTCTTTGATGCAATATACATATGACAGACTTCATGTGAAACTAAAGGCAGGAAAGAGTGGACCCCAAAGGACTTCCACCTGAACCCTTGGAAATCTAGTAGCGTTAAAAAAGGTTGAAAATACTTTAGACATAGACCTACACAGGTCGCAGGCTGAACTCTTTGACAACATCGAAAGTATCCGCAAAGGCTTTTCGAAATTATACCTCACTCATCAGCTGGATGTTTCTGTACCCCACTGAGTTGTGGTGTTCTCACTAAGATTCAAACCCCAGTAGCCATCACTCCAAAAATGAGACCACTTTCCTCTAGCTGGGCTACTGAGTCATGAGATCCGCCAACTGTGCAACGAACGGCCCAACAGGTTGATCACTTATGGTATTTGTCCTCTATTGCCTCATTTAAAACTAAATTTGTTCTGTTTGACATACTTGAAATGAAAATCTACTCATCAACTTTGTGCACCTTTCAACTGCTGGCAATGGGTCACATACACCTACTTGGCTGTAAGTGTCTCACTGGATTTAGTGGGGTTAGCATACATGACTCATCTGCTCTCAGTAACTGGGTCTCATAACTCAGTTGGTAGACCATGGGACAGGTAAGCTGAAGGCCACTGTTTCAAATCTTACTTCTAGCCTTCAGTTATCAACAATACAAGTCGACCTAATCACATAACCACGAAGTTCAAACTCGTGGCCCACTAACTGAAATGTAATCCACTTGACAGGCAGACAACTTACCGTAGCCCACGTGCCATTTCAAATAAATCCACAAGGAACGCTTCCTCTTCTTGGTTCTGGTTAACATCGTTTGAATCGCCACCGCCTAAGCTGACAATCAGTGCTATCGTGTCGGTATCATCAGCTTCGAATTTCGTCCTGGGTTCAAAAGTGTGACAATTGAAATATGTGTGATGACTAAACTTTCTAATTTGAAATCCATCCATATGCATACAATTATCTTCAATTTGCATTGTCTGATTCACTCGACGCATACAATTCAAAAACGCTGTGGTATCATGCCCCAATCGATAAGCATCGATTACTTTGATATTCTGATAATAAATCGATACACTATCGTATTGATACAATGTCTCAGCACTGTCTACATCATTCTCCAATAAGAATTGATGCGTTAAATTGCGCATATACCGGTTGAATACATTTGGTGACATCACAGCACCATTACGCCAAAGATGATAGGCATTCTGCGAAAAGGGATGGTGATGACAGATTGTCAATGCGGGAAACGGGGATTTCGTGTCCAACGCGACATGTATATTCACTGAGACATCATAAACTAGGTAATCTTGTACAAGTAGATAAGTGGTCAAACAGAGACCAACTGTCATGATGAGAACAAAACAAAACCATAAGCCACGGAGGAATGGTGGTCCCCGACGCATACGGGCAACACCACGAATTGAAAATGTATCACAGATTATTTCTAAAATATTCATTTCTGTTCGCTTTGCTGTGAATTGTTTCCTTTCATAATTGATGGAGGAGTAATTATTTTTCTTTTTACTATTACAGGTGAATTTATCAGTGGTTGGATATTGATCGGGATCTGGTGTAATACATGAGTGTGCAGTGTTCTCTAATCTGAACATTTCAAGTTACTTTTCTCCTGCGTCCATCTGTAAAAGAAACAAAGAAATACAGACAGACATAACCATTAGAAATCTCTGTTACTCAGGATACTAGCAGGAAGCCCTGACACTCATCCGAATGGAGTATTTGCAACCTAGATGAGAAGTCATGTCTTTCCCCTGACGGATTCGAACCCGCCTCAATCAGTGTTACAATCAGTCACTTGACCACTAGGGTATTCAGGTCCCTATCGATCTCCTGCAAGATGACATGGAACCGGTTGCCCCATAGAGGTTTTAGGCATGTTAACCACCAGTTTTATGTAACTAGAGCGAGAACAACAGCTTTGGCTGAATACCATAGGGCCATTTCCGTTTCGATGGTTCTCATGATATGCTGAAAACCTCATGAAACACTTCCTATATAGAAATATATAAAAAATATCTGCATATTAGAACCAATTTGATGAAAGCAAGAAAATGTGAACTATTAGCTTCCGACACACAGGGTCAGTGGAAATGTGGTCGCTCCAAAACCTGGGAGACTTGAGTTCGACCCCAAACGAGGTCATGGATCGTACTGCTGAGAAGTCCACAGTTCACAACTACGGACGGTTGCTATCAATGATGCGACAGTTTCGTTGAGCGTTTTAATGATGTTTCCTGATTGTTCCAAGCTTACTGAACAGTGTAAGTTAGGTCCTCGAAGGAGGAAAAAGCACTTTCCAGTTACCTCTTGACTATCTGGTAATTTATTCAATCAATGAATCCAAACATTGTTCTGAAGAGAACACACGGATCTTCACTGTATTTCATTTGAAAATTGAAAAACAAAACAGCACAAAAACAACACTCATGTACATTTTAACTAGTTACTTGTAAACGTGATGTTTGTTTATCTACTTAGTTATTTTTGCAAACAGATGCCCGATTTTCCTGTTGTAGAATTTATTTTTTCTTTCACCAACACTACCATTTTCTGCTGTCAGTCATGCGAAAGTATATCAGACAGGTTAGGCAAGTTCCATGTGAATGTTACGATTTAAGTAGTATCTATAACCTGTCGATCAAACAGTGTTGTAATAAGAAAAAAAGAGAACACTAGGCCAAGTGAATTATTTTACTAGCAATGAATTGGGTTATGGTTCATATATATATATATATATATATATATATATATATATACAAACTCACGCACAGAAGCGCGGACGTTTTTCTCGTTTCCAGCCTAGTTATAGATTTAATAAGTAGTATTTTGAAAGACTAAGGAAATATCATCCACACCAACACTTTGCAAGGTTAATAACTAAGTATTCATGGCTGACTGATGATATCAGTTGATGGAGCAGCACTGAAAGACTGGTGCTTCGTCCCGCTAGTTTGAGGCTCATCAGCAGTGCGAACGCAAGACCGTGAGATATAGCGGTAAGCACCCTCCTATCCGCCGTCTGGTCGAAATCCCTACAGTCAAATAAGTTGGTTGAAGGCAATCGGCAGAAAATCCTGTCCAACCTCCGTTTTTTGCTTGTTGACATTCATCAGGAGGGCGCATGTGCAACCTCGACGAGACTGATGCCCTGTCTGACACTCGAACCTGTGCCCTCTAGTGGTCTTCGGGCTGCAGCTGACTTCCTGCAAGACTCGATTACACACACTAATTGGTTACTGAAGACAGCAGTCAATTTCATGTTGTCTACTACTGAGTAAAGAACAAAATTCTATTTAAGATCATTTTTTGCAATGTAGCCACCAAGTTTGGGGGCTTACCGAAGCGGCGCACATTAAGGAAATTGATGTCCCCTTTGAGGTCTCAGATACTCTTTGGTGATGAGTCCCAACAAAAAAGAAACCCAAGTGAAGTGAGGCTTTCTGTTACCCAAACATCTTGTAGCAGCTTCTTAGATGAAGAAATTGAAAGCGTAACTGAATTACTACAGATATGTGCATACACTGCGAAGACTGTCACAAAGAATAGGTCTACAATCCATATTATACAACGGTTACCGGCTTAATTGCCACATCAATCAAATATATCGCCTTTATAACTACCTAACTTCTATCCAGTCTAAACCTGAAATCCGCTGGACAATTATTAAAAGTATGAAAACCCTGATGAGGTGTATGAATCTCCACGATCATAGTGTACATGTACGACGAATCAATCCCCACAAATCACCAGTCTTTCAATGGGGATTTCCTGAAGTTCTAATGAAAAGCTCTGGCCTGTAGCATGAACCAAATCAGGTGTCAAGACAGATACTTGTCAACAGTTTTGATAGACGGTCATTTCCTAGCAAGATCACGGGCGCACACTACTGAGGAGCCAGTCTCATACTAGTAGGATGAAACAGCTGTCGAGCTCATCCAGATTTTCAATAGTTCCCCAACTGATATTACTCTGGGATAAGTACCAGCATGAAATCAATAAATAAATACCCATCACTGACAGAAGTGAACTGATCAGCAACTACTGTCATACGGAATTATTTGTTGATGCCTCGATATTGCAGACAATTTCACTTTGATACTAATGATGGATAGTGGCAAGTCGAATCTGTCCAACCAACAATAGTAAATCGCAAGCGATGAGATCAAAGTGTACCCGTCAGACAAACAGCAGTTATCGTGACCCAGTGGCTTAGTAGATATCGTTCTAACCTTTGAAGTGGGGGTCGCAGGGTTTGAGTCTCAGTTGGAACACTATCAACCCCTGGGAGGCAAGTACATCTGACTGATGACCCCCAAACGGGACGAAACACACGTCCTAGATTCTACTACTAACCCCAACCATTAGTGGTTCCAAGTTCACTGTTTTCATAGTCTGCATGCTTAACATCATTAGAAAATCAAACAAGGATACGTTATGTTTGTTGGAAAATCAAAGAATTTGGGAGTTAAAGTGAATATTATCTGTGAGTATTTCATAAGGAGGAACTTTTCGGCCAATTAAACCCAATGAAGTATCGAAAATTTAGTGTAATCGAGTCAAGACTCATTACACACTGCTGTTAAACAAATATAAGATGTTTTGAAAATACATGATCCATGATGAGTTATCACACTATGGTTTCTTAGCGTAACTAAAATATTCCGACCACATAAAGATGGTAAGTATGCAAACTGTAGGGAGTATACTACTGACTGGCTGAAGTGAGTACTTGTCGCCTACTATCACCTATTAGTAGATCTCGATCCTCATCCAGATAGAGTGAGAAATAAGAAATACGTGAACATTAGTAAAGCAACGAGACACTTGAACTAGATACGAATAGTAACTGTTCTCCCTTACAGTCTTATACTTCACTCAGTAGGAAAAATATCACAACACAAAGACTCTTAATTCAACAAAAATACATTAATTGTATACAACAATTTTCATGAACATATAAAACCATTAGGTCAAAAGTTAAATGACTCATTCTGATTGGTCGACAGAAGGCCAAAGTTGTCCAATGAGGTTTTTTGTGGCTACACAGAGATATGAAAGGAAAATTGAGATAGAAAAACTTCTACTTCAACGGTTGATGACTTAAAATGTTTCCATTTAAGCCAATAAAAAGTCTTCATCTATTGAATTTCATCAGATTTCTCCATTTTTTCACTTGTTTCAGTCATTCGGATGTCAACAGATCGTGGTTCGTACTCTCATGGGTTCTTAAAATAACTTTAACTTATTATTAGACGAGTTTATAGTAAAATTATGAGCAGATATCATGGTAGATGGTAAATTGTCCTGAGTGCACAACACTACATCATATCAAAGGGGAAGTTGTCTGGAACTGCAGATTTTCACGTTGTCTATATGAATCTCTACCATCCAACTTACTGGTACCCTGACAACAACTGGACGTTATATGTTATCGTTTATCATGCTGTTATTACTAACATTTGAAAATTTTGTCCATGGAGGGATATGTCATTCTAGATCTAGTCTGGTTCCAATGTTCAGAAAACCTGATTGATTGATGCCAATTGGCTATTTAGGCCAATACACTTGACCTTACAGCCATTGCTAAGTGTTCGTTCAATTAAATGTTGTCTAATTGGGTCAATGAGATTCTAACGTCAATAATAATAATAGACATATCTCAATCAGGTTAGCAGAATGTTCGAATCCAGCAAAATTGAGATTGATGGATCTTAATGAGATGAGTGATCTAGGGCAGAATTCAGCCATATCTATGCTTTAGATAACACAGCCACACAGTAAAGTAGTACAGAGTTACTGTCCCATGTTACATAGCCACTCAGCTATAACTTTGGTTGTAGGCGTCTTAAGCACGTGGTTCTGTCAATTCAGTCGTAGCACTGACCTTGAACGTGACTGGTGGAAGGTAAACTTGACCAGTCTGATATTATATTCAGTCCGCTTTGTCCATGTATTTCAACCATCAAAACCAACCAATTGCAACAAAAACACAAAGTCGGGATCCATGAGATGAATTTGTGTAGGCACACCAATGATGAGACTGGCCCAAAACGAATGGAGTAGTCTGTCATCCGGTGATCAGATCACTCTTATTTGACTGCCTGGCAAAATCCACAGAACAGCCCTGTGAGTTTTTTCTAATTGTCACTCAAGTTGTTCAGTAGTAAAAACTTCCAGCCTATTGACTATCGCTTAAAACGATCAGGTTGGAATATTGAATCTTGATCGGTGAACAGGTCTGTGATACAGCATTCCAAAGAAAGTCATTCTAACTTTTCAACTGTTCACACTTTCCTCTTGATATTTATCATGACACAACACACACAGACACACACAAACATAAACACGTAAACCAACAGAGAGACAAAATATGACCTGAAAAAAATCCAATAAAACCAATTATCTGCTCTCTCATCGCTATAACCCCTTTCTAAACTAGCTCATCTTATCACCAGATTTATTTCACATCATACTCTCTTCTTGTTTATCAAATGAAATAATTATTAAAATAAGCATTGATTGTTTAGGAAGATAATCATGACCTTAGAAGGGAAATGACTGCGTCTCCTTCTGTCCATTTGTCTACTAATATGATTTAAATTTGTGTAATTGAGATATA